TGGTTCCTGAGGGTCTTTTGAGCTCCTTGATTGCCTCAGCTTTCCTCGTCGTTAGTCAGGGCCCTGGCGACTGCTGCTGCCGCCCACCCGAGCCGGTCCTTTGCTGGGACTGGAAGATAACGGTATTTCCATCCCAGGCCGTCTCCTTCTCAGACAGCACTTCGTTTCCCTGTCTCGTTTGTCGGTGATCTTATGGTGGTCCGTGAGGTAGCTCGTCTCCATCCATCCGTTCTCCCTCCTGCCCCACGCCTCACTTGTGAGCGCATCCAGGCGTTGGCAGAACTTCTATTTCAGACAGTGTCTCCCTGCCCAATTCTGGCCGACCAGGAACTCTTACCTCACACACATCGCGGTGCCTCTGCCTCCGGACGACTGGGATTAACAGCATATGCCGCCGCACCTGGCTGTTTAATTTGGAAGGGTTTATTACCGCTGACAGTAGGAGTGCAATTCAGTTTGGTGGGGAAGTTTTGTCCCAGGAGCTTGAGGCAGCTGTAGTCAGGAAGCAGAAAGATAAGTGCTGGTGTTCGCATTGCTTTCCCCGTGTTTCTTTTTCCGGGACTATCTTTTCTTCGTGTGTATGTGTGTCTGTGCATGTGAATGAGTCCAGATCCACTGGAGCTTGAGTTTCGGGTGGTTGTCAGTTGCCCAGTTTGAGTGCTAGAAACTGAACTTGGATCCTCTGGAAGGACACCAAATGCTTTTAAGACAAGATTTTACTGTGCAGCCCAGGCTGGCCTCCAACTCGGGTGTCTTCCTACCTTGGCCTCCCAAGACAAGAGCTGATGTGAAAGGTGTTTGCCACCATGCCCACCACAATTGCTAGTGTTTCCCGAGGTTGAAAATGTCACAGGCTGGGAAAGGTAGCTCAGTGGTGAGATTTTGCAAGACTCTGCTCCTACCCCAGAACCAAGGCGCATGCTCACCCAAGCTAGTTTTGTCCTGGGTTTTCTTGTTTTTTTTTTTTTTTTAGCCTCTCCAAAACAGATGAATTGCATTTTTCATTTAGTGGGTGCCCACACCCCTACACGTGAAAGCAAGACTCTAGGGGCCTTGAGTTGTACCCTCAAGCCTGTGGCTGGCTGGACACCAGAAGTCAGAGTAGGTTTTCATGCTGTCACTGCTCCAGGTACCCTCTTGTTCTGGGAAGCCTGCGGCCAGCCTTGGACTCTGCTCTTGCATCTGGCCAACTTCATCTGTGGGTCTGTGTCTCCTGGTAGCTTTCGAAGGTATAGGCAGTGCTTTTCTTTTTCAGTCCTGTGTGGCTGAGCATGAAACAGACCAGACAGGCTGGTCCTGCCCACAGACAGCTTCAGTACACATGAATGCTCTCAGCCATCCCAGCGTCTTAAGGCCCATGTGTCCCTTGGCTTTTGCCCCTTCCTCCTCCAGAGTCAACAGCCAGCGACCTCACTGTGTCTCTGCCCTGAGTCCTTCTGACTCCATGGTGACACTACCTGGCCCTCGGAGTTTTTGATATCATTTTCAAAATTCCTTTTGCTGTATGAGGCTCCAACAATGATGACAAGGACTGCCCTCCACTTGTCTCCTGGACATGTCCCTGAGTTTACCTCTGGGTTTAAACCAAGGCCCTGGGGCAGACAATGAGCAGTCTAAAGTGTTCTTCCTAGTGGACAACATTCAGGACTTGGAAGACTAGGAAAAAACATAATCCTTGTGTGTCAGATGGGTGTGTGAGGTCTTTTAATCCCAACACTTGATGGATCTCTGAGGACAGCCAGGTCTACTTAAAGAGACCCCCCCCCCCATCTTAATATGACACAGCAGGCAAAGGTGGCTCATACCTGCAGTCACTTGGGAGGATCAGGAGTTTAAAGGACAACCCAGGCTACATGAGACTCTGCCTGTCCCCCACCTACCTCATAACCAAAGACAGATATAATGGCACACCCCTGTAATTTCAGTGCTTACGGGGACCAGGAGTTAAACTAGCCTGAGCTACACAGTGAGTTTACAGCTAGCTTTGGTTACGTGAGACTTGAAAAAAATGACACTAGCCTAGGGTCTTGGGCTGGTTGCTTCTCCACCAATCCACATTCACTCTAAGGGTAAGGTGGAATCCAATCTGGAACATAGAAGGCAAGGGAAGGCCTGCTTGCTGCATGAATGTGTGCTGTTCTGAATCTGTTGCCCTTTTGTTCCTCCAGGTTTCTGTGTGTCCCTGAAGCTTCCAGGCCTTCACCATGGACTTCCAGCACAGACCTGGAGGCAAGACTGGGAGTGGGGGCGTGGCCTCCTCCTCTGAGAGCAACCGGGACCGCAGGGAACGCCTGCGACAGCTGGCCTTAGAAACCATTGACATCAACAAGGTGGGGGGGTACCTACAGTAGGGGTGTGGAGGGAGCAGTGTCCCCACACCTACAGACCCAGGTTCATGGGGCCAGGCTCTGCGATCTAATGGGTACATATGTTCCCTCCAAGGACCCATATTTCATGAAGAACCATCTGGGATCGTATGAATGCAAACTTTGCCTGACACTGCATAACAATGAGGTGCGTGACCCCTGTCCCCAGAGCTGAGGGCTTCCTTGGGGTTGGTCTGCTTCAGTTGAATTCTTTTTTTTAATCAGCTATGCTGGGTAAACAGCCACTGGGCTAGACTATATCTCTGTCCAGTTCTTGAGACAGTCTCTGTATAGCTCTTATGAGGCCAGGACCTCCTGGCCCTCTTGCTCTGCCTCCTGCCTGACCCTGCACTGAAGGTGGCCTGGAGACCAGCTAATCCTTTTGCCCTTTTCTTTTACTGGCCTTGATGTCAAGACAAGAGCCAGCTGTTTGATCTGCGAATGCCCCACAGACAAGTGATGGGTGCCTACCAGCCACAGGGAAGGGATGTAACTGGTTCTTTTTCTCTGGGGTTCTTTTTTTTTTTTTTCCTCGAGACAGGGTTTCTCTGTGGCTTTGGAGGCTGTCCTGGAACTAGCTCTTGTAGACCAGGCTGGTCTCGAACTCACAGAGATCCGCCTGCCTCTGCCCCCCCGAGTGCTGGGATTAAAGGCGTGTGCCACCAATGCCCGTCTGGGGTTCATTCTTAATCCAGGAAGTTACCTCCCTACCCTCTCACTGGATGACCAGACCAATCAGCAGTAAATGGGATGCATTTGACTTTGTTGACAATGGAGTCAGGTTGACACAGCTGGGCAGGATGCCCAGGAGTTGTAGCCTAGGCCTCCCACCCCTTGTTGGGAGCTCCCCAGCACTATAGACCTTCGGTGTGTATGCTGGTCCTGACCATAGAACTTCTCAGGGAGGCAAAGAGAGTATCATGCATGTCTCCTCAGTGTAGCCACAGACATTGTGCATCCCCTGCAGGCTCCCATGCTGGACGCTGTTAAGAGTTGCCCTGCCTGTCCTGCCCTCCCCACCTTTAGTGATGTGTCTCTTTTCTCTTTGCAGGGGAGCTACCTGGCTCACACCCAAGGGAAGAAACATCAGACTAACTTGTGAGCCCTCACTTGGTGTGGCTTGGTGGGGAGGGAGGGAAAGGCCCACTGCAGAGCTTATGGCTAAGGAGCAAGGACAGTCGGGGAGACTGGTTGGTATACTCCAGGGCTGAGCCCTCATCCTGTCCGTGAGTTCCAAGGCCAGGGGGTTCTGACAACTGGGCTCTTGGCCTTGGCGGCTGGTAGAGGGACACCTGTGTTTCCTGTTTGTAGGGCTCGGCGAGCTGCCAAGGAGGCCAAGGAAGCCCCTGCACAGCCAGCACCCGAGAAGGTCAAGGTGGAGGTGAAGAAGTTTGTGAAGATTGGCCGCCCTGGCTACAAAGGTGTGTGGGTGTGGGTGTGTGGCGGCCTGCCCACGAGACAAATGGTTGTATCCCTGACCCAGGATACACTGGTCTCTAGGACACTCAGCTGCTGCTTCCTCTGTCCTCAGCAACCGACTGTTGGCAGATAAGCACCCATCCCCCACTAGAAACTTCCAGAAGAGGAAAGGGAGGCAGGTTGTCTGCAGTCAGTGCTCCCAGAGCCCCTCAGCAGGGGCCTTGAGTGACCTGGCCTATCCAAAATGCCAGTCATGTGGCCAACAGGGAGCCAAGTGCCCCAAGAGTCACCATTGACAGTCAGGGTACTGGAAAGCTGTGACATAGTGTTGCAGAGGGCTGTCCACACTGTCCCTACATACAGTGCTGGGTGGGTTGCCCTCACTTGGATCCTAGCTAGGTGGCCAAGGAGCAGAGCGGCCAGGCCTGGTAAGGGGAAACCTGTTCTGGTAAGCACCCATGACACATGACAGCCCCGTCCCCTGTGTGTTGCAGTGACTAAGCAGAGGGACACAGAGATGGGCCAGCAGAGCCTGCTGTTCCAGGTGAGGTGAGGCCAGTGAGGGGTGGGCCAGGCAACCAGGTGGTAGTGCTAAGGTTTTTGTGCTCGTCCCCCAGATTGACTATCCTGAGATTGCTGAGGGCATCATGCCACGCCACCGCTTCATGTCTGCCTATGAGCAGAGGATAGAGCCCCCAGACCGCCGCTGGCAGTACCTACTCATGGCTGCTGAGCCCTATGAGACCATTGCCTTCAAGGTAGTGACCCTGAGGACTGGAGGAGAAAGATAAATTCAGGTTTGTCTGTTTGTATTGGTCCCAGGGTGCAGCCTCTGCTTCCCTCCCCCAGGTGCCAAGCCGGGAGATTGACAAGGCTGAGGGCAAATTCTGGACCCACTGGAACCGAGAGACCAAGCAGGTAAGGTGTGGCAAGACTTGCCTGGGTACTCCCCTACCCCCACCCCCCCTGCTCCTCCAGCCTCTGACCCTCCTCCCCTGCAGTTTTTTCTTCAGTTCCACTTTAAAATGGAAAAGCCACCGGCCCCACCCAGTCTCCCAGCTGGACCCCCAGGCGTCAAGCGGCCCCCACCCCCACTCATGAATGGCCTGCCTCCTCGCCCTCCACTGCCGGATGCCTTGCCCCCACCTCCGCCTGGTGGCCTGCCTTTGCCCCCTATGCCCCCCACAGGGCCTACTCCCGCTGGGCCCCCTGGACCTCCCCAGATGCCTCCACCAGCTCCTGGGGTCCATCCACCAGCCCCAGTAGTCCATCCACCCACATCTGGGGTCCATCCTCCAGCCCCTGGGGTACACCCCTCAGCCCCTGGGGTACACCCACAAACATCTGGGGTGCACCCACCAGCCCCTGGGGTGCACCCACCAGCCCCTGGAGTGCACCCACCAGCCCCTGGGGTGCACCCTCCAGCCCCTGGGGTGCACCCACCAGCCCCTGGAGTGCACCCACCAGCCCCTGGGGTGCACCCTCCAGCCCCTGGGGTGCACCCACCAGCCCCTGGAGTGCACCCACCAGCCCCTGGGGTGCACCCACCAGCCCCTGGAGTGCACCCACCAGCCCCAGGTGTGCACCCACCAGCTCCAGGTGTGCACCCACCAGCTCCAGGTGTGCACCCACCAGCTCCAGGGGTCCACCCTCCCCCATCAGCTGGAGTTCATCCTCAGGCTCCAGGAGTACATCCACCTACTCCTGCAGTTCACCCTCAGGCCCCTGGGGTGCACCCCCCAGCTCCTGGTATCCACCCTCAGGCTCCTGGGGTGCATCCCCAGCCTCCTCCTGGGGTCCATCCTGCCACCCCTGTGGTCCACCCTCAGCCTCCAGGGGTTCACCCCTCAAATCCTGGTGTGCACCCAGCTCCTATGCCCCCCATGCTAAGGCCCCCACTCCCATCAGATGGCCCTGGGAGCATGCCTCCTCCTCCCCCAGGCAACTGAACACTGGCCCCAGCATCCCTTGCTGCCTGTGTGTGGCCTTTTCCTGGCCAGTCCTTGGAAAAGTTTTCTGTTTTGTCCTGTCCTGAGCCCATTAAACAGCCTCCCCCATGTCTCCCTGTCTGCAGTGTGTGTCTGTGGTGGGGGGTATGGGCGGGTGCTGTGTGCCTTCATTGAAGGCATGATGACCTGTGAGTCCTCCAGGTGGACTCCCTAGGCAGATGGGAACTACCCAAGGACAGTTCTAGCCTCTGCAGTTGTGGGCCTGGCTGTGAGGACAGAAAACCCTTTGAGAAAGCCACCTCCCACCTGCTGTGCACACAGGGCACCAGGCACTGTCCCCCAAGGTCACCTCCACCTCCGGAGTTGATAGGGGTGTCCCTCCCAAGCACTCTGGCTCAGCCAAACATATAAGCAGGGCCTCCCAGCCCTTGTTGCTCTACCATGCAGGGACCACCCCTCTCTCCACTAGTGCTGCTGCTGGTGACCATGGGCACTGTGTTACAGGCCAAGACCCTCAAAGAAGACCTCAAAAGAGCCACCAGCACCAGGGGCCTCATCTTCTTTGAAGATGGGATCTGGCCTCTCAGCAGTCCCCCAGAGCCCTTGTGCCTGGTGACACTGAGAGGCTTGAGGAACACAAGCAGAGCCCCGCTAAGGGTGGTAGGGGGCCTGGACAGTTATGAGCATTCCTTCCTGGAGGCTGTACAGGAGTCTCACTGGGGACCCCAAGACCTGGCCACCTTCGGAGTCTGCAGTCCTGACTCCCAGGCTATCCTGCCAGCCCTGCAGCGCCTTGGGGCCTGGCTGGGGGAGACTGGGGGGCAGCAGTTGCTGGTCTTGCATCTGGCTGAAGGTACGTGATGGACCCTGTTCAGCCCCCCTGTGTCTTGGGCCTCTTACTACTACCCGAGGCTCCTCCCAAGGTCTGGGGAGAGGCTGTGAGAAATCCTGTTGCTTGGCTGCAAGGCAGAGCCTTGTACACTTGTGGGTGAGCTGCAGTGGACAGAATGCCAGTCATCACTCCTTCCCTGACAGGGAAGCAAGGTCCTCACCTCACACCTTGGATCAGGGTCCTTCAGGCCTGCATGGCCTCAGGAGATCTTTATACACCCCAGTTAGGTTCCAGCTGAGGAAACCTGTAGGACAGACAGGTCTTGAGGGATGGAAACTAGTGTCCACAGACTGACTTGTCACCAATATTCGTTCCATAGTGAAATGGGAGCCCACGCTCTTACTGAAGTTCCAAGAGCCTCCACATGGGGGAGACAGCAGCTGGGAGCAGGCCTTGCTGGTGCTATACCCTGGACCTGGCCCCCAGGTCACAGTCACAGGGGCTGGACTGCAGGGCACACAGGTACCTGAGAGTGGCATGGGGCCATCCCTGAACAGCCATCTGGTTGGGGTGTATAAAGATCTGCCTAACAGAAGGGTCCCTAGGGTCAAGAGTGTCTCTGGGAGTCTTCTCCCAGTATGGGAGGGTGCTGCCTGGTAGCCTGGCCATCCTGGTCAGTCCAGCTGAGCCCCGGTATCCACAGAACCTCTGCCCTACTCGAGACACCCGGTATTTGGTGCTGGCTGTGGACTCTCCAGCGGGGGCCTGGAGCGGCCCCGGCCTCGCCCTAACCCTTCAGCCACTCAGAGAAGGTAGGAACAGGAGGAAGTGAGGAGTGTGTGCAAAGAGGCTGCCCTTAGCCCTGGCCCTCAGCCAGCCTCGTGCCCACCCTCCGCAGGTGCCGCCCTGAGCATCACCCAGTTGCAGGCCTTTCTGTTCGGCTCTGACTCTCGCTGTTTCACACGCATGACCCCAACCCTGCTGTTGCTGCCACCCGTCCCACCATCACTGCAGCCAGCGCATGGCCAGCTGGACACCATGCCCTTCCCGCCACTCAGGTATGCACAGGGCTGGAGCAGGGAATGCACTGGGAAGAGGGCGGAAGAGGGATGTATCCGCCACACCCTCTTGTGCTCACGGCTGGCCCACTGCGTTCCTTCTATTCCAGGCTGTCCCTGGAGCCAGAGGAGCTGCCACACAGCACTGATCCCTTCCTAGAGACCCTCACTCGCTTGGTACGTGCCCTACGGGGACCCCCGACCCGGGCCTCACATACACATCTGGCCCTGGACCCTGGGGCGCTGGCCAGCTTCCCACAGGGCCTTGTCAACCTGTCAGACCCCACTGCACTGGAACGCCTGCTCGATGGGGAGGAACCACTGCTCCTGCTGTTGTCTCCCGCTGCGGCCACCATGGGGGAACCCACCCCGCTGCAGGACCCTGCCTCTGCTCCGTGGGCAGCCGGCCTGGCACGCAGGGTGTCCGTGGAGCTGCAGGCAGCTGCCTCAGAGCTGCGGGGCCTCCCGGGCCTGCCACCCGCTGCGCCCCCGCTGCTATCGCGCCTACTGGCACTGTGCCCCAACGACACCCACAGCCCCGGGGACCCGTTGCGCGCGCTGCTGCTGCTGAAGGCGCTGCAGGGCCTGCGTGCAGAGTGGCGTGGGCGGGAAGGGCGCGGGAGGGCGGGGCGCAGCGCAGGGACAGGGACAGAGGGGCCATGCGCACTGCGTGAGCTGAGCGTAGACTTGCGCGCAGAGCGGTCCGTGCTCATCCCCGAGACCTACCAGGCCAACAACTGCCAAGGCGCCTGCACGTGGCCACAGTCCGACCGCAACCCTCGGTATGGGAACCACGTGGTGCTCCTGCTGAAGATGCAGGCTCTCTGGG